AAACAAAAGAGGGTATAGAAGCAACTATTACCTTTATTCAAGAAACAAAGGCTAGAACACAAGCCTAGTACAAAGGAAACACAGAAAACGAGGAGTAATACCTGTAACAGGTAGCCATACACCTCCCCCACCCTATCCCCCCCTACCTACCAACTAATAGGCTACGAGCCTCACCTTCATCTAGTTAAAACCCCTCCTAAATATTGTAGCTAGAAACAACCTACTTAGATACTTGTAGGCCTAAAAATCCTACACGTCTTATATAGCCCTTTGGGCTGAAAAAGGACGTTCAACTAGAATAATAATAATAATAATAATAATCCCCAGAGCTACCCTGCATGGACGCGCAATGACCCAGGACGCGCAATGACCCACCCTACTAAACTTAACACCTACACAAAATACCTTATAACTCCACTAATATAGACCTAATTTAGAAAGCGATTAAAGAAATTAAATTGCGCGAACTAGGCGCATCTTTTAGCTATTGCTAAGTTATAAAAAGGTTTAGCATTAGCTATCGTACGCTCGCTTAAAGACACTAAAGCAAAACTTAGCCTCGCGCGCTCGCCTACCTCTCTATCCACCTACAACGCGAAAAGGAGCTTGTACAGTACATTAAATCCCTCACTAAGAGGCGTACACTACCTTCGCGTCTAATAATACGCTATCTTACGTCATCTTTGCTTAGTAGAGACGTTTTAGAACGCTAGGTTTCTAGGTTCCTCTGCAGGAACTCCTCTTATCTCATCTCTCGCTGGCAGAGTCCTATAGACTAGAAGCGTCACAAGGCTAATTTAGCAACTAAGTATAGGTTGTACTTTAAGCTGTTACACAATAAGATGAAGGAGTACAATATACAGCCCTCTTACATCTTCAATATAGATGAAAAGGGCTTCTTACTTAGAATCCTTAGAAGGTCTAAAAGGATCTTTAGTAAGAGGCAATATGAAAGAGGAGGAGTTGTTTCAAGCCTACAAGATGGCTCTAGAGAGTGGATTACAGTCCTAGCCTGTATCTGCTCAGATAGTACACCTCTTTCTCCATCTCTCATCTTTTAGTCAGATGCTGGAGCTCTAAAATCAGCCTAGGTAGAGGCTATTAATCCAAACAAGCACTTAGTCTTTGTTACCTCATTGCCCTCTAGATAGACTAACAATAATATAGGCCTAGCTTGGCTTAAAGAGGTCTTTAAAAGAGAGACTGCACGCTACGCTTGAACTGGGTACTAGTTACTTATTGTTAATGGCCACTTATCTCATGTAACTATAGATTTTCTAGATTATTGCAACAGCTATAGGATTCTAGTTGCTGTATATCCTCCTCATTCAACCTATAGGCTTTAGCCTCTTGACGTTGGGATGTTTAGGCCTCTAGCGTCAGCCTACTTAAAGGAGTTGTTAAACTTCCTCTATTAGAGCTATAGAATCCTTCCTCTAGCAAAAGGAGACTTCTTTAAGCTCTTTTAGAGGGCTTAAGGTACAGCTTTTAGAAAGGAGACTATTATAAGCTCCTTTAAGGCAACTAGCATTAACCTACTAAATGCTAAGGTTATTCTCTAAAAGTTTTCACAAGAGGCCTCTAGTTTAGATGAAAGCTCTTCTTCTGTCCTTAGTAGAGATAATTAGCTCAAAATTAAGTCTATTATACGCTAGGAGGTGAAGGATTTTAATAATAAGGAGGTAAAAAAGCTTCGCTGAAGCCTCTATCACCTCTTAGCTTAAAATAGTATACTCAAAGGAGAAAACTAGGGCTTAAGAGAGGCTCTAAAGGTTAAAAAGAGACACCAAAAGAAGAGCTACACGCTTCAACTCAATAGGCCTAAGGAGTACTATAGAGGAGCTGTCTTTTAGTCTCCTAAGAAGGTTCGCCAAGCCAAGGAGGATGAGATAGAACAACAACAAGAACAACAGCAATTACAACTCTAGAAAGCTAAGAGATCTAAGTTAAGGAGACAAGCTTAATTGTACAAGCTTCAAATAGCCCAGGAGAAGCGTGTTGAGAGAGAGAGGCTCAAGGAGGTGAGAGAGAAGGAGAGAGCCGCCAAGGTGGCTCAAAAGGAGGCTCAAAAGGCAGCCCGGGAGGCTAAAAAAGCTATACAATTATCCCAAAGGGGTAAGCGCAAAGCCTTATAAGGCTCCTCTTAAAAGCAGAAGCGTTAGAAACGTGTTGTTGTTAATTTATCTTATGTATAAGCTAAGGTGGCTGCACTAGCTGTCCTAACTTAGACCACCCGCTACAGCTGCACTACTAAGCTACTAAGTAGATACAAGTAGCCTATTATAATCGCAATGCTATAATTACTACAACACTATAAAATCTTGTAATAATAGCGACTGTAGGTGGCTGTACAGCCTCATCTTTTGCAATAG